ACCTAAAGCAAGTAAAGTAAAACAAACCAAAAAAGATTCATCTAGTTCGAAAGAAGAAAGCTCTGAAGATGAAAAACCAAAGAAAACAAAAAATGAGAAAAAAGAAAGTTCAAGCTCAGAGAGTGGAGAGGAAAGTTCTGAGGATGAAAAACCAAAGCAAAACAAAACAAAAGTCAAAAATAAAAAGAAGAGTTCTTCAAGCTCAGAGAGTGAGGATGATAGTTCCGAGGAAGAAAAACCAAAGAAAAGTAAAAAAGCAACCAAAAATGATGAAAAAGCCAAGTCTTCAAGTTCAGAGAGTGAGGATGACAGCTCTGAAGATGAAAAGAAAAAGAAAAATGAAAAAACAAAGAAAAGCAAAAAGAAAACCAAGAAAGAATCCTCCAGTTCAGAAAGTGAAGATGACAGTGATGAAGAAAGTTCAGAAGATGAAAAACCAAAGAAAATGAACAAAAACGTCAAGGTCAGTATTTTAAAGCAATCAATAGCAGATACCAGAGTTACACTCTGTTGCCTTCAAGCAATGTTGTTTCAAGTCAAGGCATTTGGGTCAATACAATGAAATGTATAGAAACTGACCCAAATGTAACAATTGTTTCAGGTCGAGGCATTTGGATCAATACAATGAAATGTATAGAAACTGACCCAAATGTAACAATTGTCTGGAGGCAATAGAGTGTAACTCCGATATCTGCTATTACATGTAACTACTAAGGGGAAGCACCGGTGGCATGCACTGCTAATGCACCGCCTCTCACCAATGCAGCCCGAGTTCGAGTCCTGCAGATCTCAATGTCGTATGTGAGTAGAGTTGTTTGTTGGTTCTCTCCTGTGCTTCGAGGTTTTTCGGAGTTCTCAGGTTTTCCTACCTCCTCAAAAATCAACTTCTAAATTCTAATTCGACCTCTGGGCTTTCACTTAGTTTGGAGCCTAGCTCTGTTGTGATTGTCCCATACTGTGATACAACAGCGAAAAGCTTTGTAGATTTTTTTAAAAATRAATTCATGATATTCTCTTGATATTATTTGTTTATTTCTCAATTTGTGTACATACATATATCTTTAACATAGGTAACAGAGCTAAGTAAAGACGATTCCAAGCATTCAAAGGCTCAAGGTATTAAGTGGCTGGGTTTAGCTGTTAAAGTTATTGCTGCTGCTATTCTTGTTGCTTTTGCTGCTGCTGTGGTTGCTGTTATTGCTGTTCTGCTTCTGCTGCTGTTGCTATTGCTGCTGCTGCTGCTGCCTTGTTGCTGCTTTTTTTGTTATTGGACCACTATTTTTTTATTTATTTCTTTCTGTGTTGCAGAAAGTAGCTCGTCAGAGGAGAGTGAAAGTGAAGATACAAGTGATGAAAATTCATCCAATCAAAAACCAAAAGTAACAATTGCCGTTTCAAAACTGACAAATGGAGTCAAAAGCAAAAAGAAAACCAAACAAAACAGCAAACAGAAATCCCAAGCAGATAGCAGTAGCTCAGAAGAAGAAAGCTCAAGTGAAGATGATGAGGAGGAAGATTCCAGTGATGAAGAACCTGCAAAGAAAAAAACAGCCAAAGAAAGTAGTGCTAAGAAGAGTAAAGCTTCAGGTAAGTGGAAGAACAGATAACATGAATTCTATCGGAATTCTATGAACTGCAAGTACATGAAAGGGAATTTTTGTTCGCTGAATTGCAGAGAGTAGTGACTCGGAGAGCAGTGAGGAAGAAGAAAGTGATGAAGAAGAGAAAGAAAAGCCTAAAAAGAAAAGCAAAAACACTTTGACCACTCCAGGTAAGTGTTTCCTGTTCTTCTAAAATCTTTCTCTTGACAGTTATTGGTTATATTGTCCTTTGTGTGAGTCCTATAATTATTATGAACTTCCCTTTTGCTATGCCACTGTGCTAGTGTGGTGTATCCAGCTAGTTGCAGTAATCTGCTTGGAGTATCCCAAACCTCCCTGTACTATCCCTATGTTGTCCCCATACTATCCCTATAGTGTCCTTGTACCATCCCTATATTGTCCCATTATCCCTATGATATCCTAGTACTTCCCTAGATGTCCCTGTACTGTCCCATGTATCCCTATAGTACACCATATTCCTATGTTCTCCTGTGGTGTTCCTCTCTTCCCTATAATGTACTTTTCATTGCTGCAATGTCTTAATTTAAAACTAACTTCATTGTATTTACAGCTGCATCATCTACTCCAAATGCCTTGAACACATCAAGCAACAAGAAAGAGGTATGAGCTTTTTGCACTTTTGCTGCTATTTTTTTCGAGATAAAATGTTCAAAACTTACCTTTAATAAATAAATTCTCACTTTGGTTCACATAGAACAACAACAATAACGTCAAGACACCCTTTCGAAGGGTAAAAGAGGAAGAGATAGAGGTTGATCATCGATTAAAAGACAACAGTTTTGAGGCCAAGGTTAGTTTGTTTTTGCTTTCAGTTATCTTGCAAAACATTGGTATATCGCTGTTCCTTCAAGTTTTTTAATTGGTAAGAAAAAAGTTTTGATTTTCATTGCCTTATATTTTATTTTTTTAACAGTTGGGAGCCACCGGTGACTGGGGCGAGAGAGCCAACAAAGATCTAAAATTCACCAAAGGTTTGTTCCATTAGTTATACACCTAATTGCAGGGATGTTGTCATATAAATATAAAAAGTAACAAAGTAACAAAATAACAAAGGAATTAATTATTTTCAACCAAAACAGGAGTAATTATTTCGCTGTTATGAAGGTATAGACTGACATTTTTTATGTTAACTCGTTGGTATATACTAAAACAGTAAGTTATTCTCAACAATCTAGGTGGCTTTAGAATCAAAATTTAGATTAAACAGTATTCCCAATTAATTTATATTTTTTATTTTTGATCTTTTATTTTTGTATGACAAAGTTATTGCAATTAGGTGCATTCATTTATCACAGAAAGTAGGTTTATTGATGGCTTTTTCTCACGATTAAACAGGCAAGTCCTTCCGCCATGAGAAGACAAAGAAGAAACGAGGGAGCTATCGAGGTGGTGCAATCAGTACTACCATTAATTCCATTCGCTTTGACAGTGATTGACATGTGATTAGCACGTGACGGACGCGTAGAGCACGTCTATGCTCTATTGTACACGTGAGGCGTACCTGAGTTCAAATGAGGTCCTTTGTCGTGGTTGTTTTCTTAGCAATGATGCATTAACACATGTAAACCTGAACAGACTCTTCTTTAGGTTGTCTTGAATGCGAGGTTAACGTTGAAATACGAAACAAATGCCACAAATTCCATCGTGTGCAAGTGTGATTTTTTTTTTTTTTTTTTTTTTTTTTTTTTTNTTTTTTTTTTTTTCGTATTTTCAAGTTAGAGTGACCACAGTAAATCCGTGAAAGACTAATTACTAAATAGTACAAAATAGTGCTAGTTAAACAATAGAAAACAATGGAATTTGCATGAAATTGTACTATTTAGTATTACTAAAGTTTCACGGATTTACTGTGGTCACTCTAGCCTCGCATCAAAGATACTTTCGTGAAAGGTCCATTGTATTCAAAGTTTTATTGCATTTAACCGTCAGTAAATACGAATCAATGGTTTTTGTAACTTTACCAGCCTCGTTTGGTTTTCATATTAATTTATATACCCTGATTCTGAATAAATCAATTACGTTGGTATCAAAACGACAAGTATTGGTATTTGTGATGTCTGTTCTAAGTAGGTGCAGCGTTGTGGTATTACGAGTTGCAAAAGGATGTCTCTAGAGTAAAAACAAAAATTGTTGCCGGAAAAAATGCTTGAGAAATTGCAAGTTTACAATCGGTTACACAAGGACAGAGCATTCATGTTAAAACACGTTTAGTGTTTCATTCGTGTCTCTTGTGCTTTAAACTTTTCACAAAATTCTGCTAACCTCGAGCAATTCTACTTCGAGGTATTAGCAAAAATGCTAGTTCTTGTGCTGATCAAAATATCCTCTCTCCCAACGTTCAGGGCGTTATATCTCTAATACGCATTCCTTAAAATTTCCCCAAATTTTTGTATTTTGTTAATCAGCCCCAAAAGAGCCTGTTTATGAAATATAAAGCTTATTAAAGCATAAACGTCGAAAGTAGAACCCGTTGTTCTGCCCTGTCTTACATAAGAGTTAGGTCGGGTCAAGAACTCCATTGCTTTCTAAACTCAAACGAAAGGTGATGCTGAGAAACGTAATGTCTCATTAGCACTTCATTAGCATTCAAATCAATTAACAAATTAGACTGTTGATGTATTGCTAATGACCCTGCTAATTCACTTACTGCCGGCTGAGTTGGATGTAAACGGTAACAGCAGCAAGAAAAACTTCATCGCTGCAAGAAAAATAATTATTTGAAGGTAAAAATGTGTCCTTGACTATAATACAACAAAGAGAAGGCCAACTTTAACAGCGCCATGACAGTAAAGAACTTGTCATGGTGTATCTTGGTGGGCATTATCGGTACTCTCTTGGATTGTGGTTCATCGGAACATATCGACATAGACTGGAATCCCCGAACATTATCACAGTAAGTAACTAAACGTATATCTTTTCTGTAGGGATTTGTTTCTTTGTTACGTCTTGGGCGCGCGCATTTTGAAGTATTTCAATTGCGCGAGCTATTGGCCCAAGATTTTAAGACGTTAAATTGACGGCTGAAACAGAACGTTTCGTAATGATCCAATGCTTGTGCAAGATGCCATGGTAAGGCGTTTTAGTCATGATAATCATTTGCGCAATTATAAAGGCACAATATACTGAAAAAGAAATAATAGGAAACTTAAACACCGTGTAAAAACATTGAAGTTTAGAAGTCATTCATTTGCGGAGCAAGAAAAAGTCATAAAAGTTCTAGTTTCTCTGCACTTGCGCGCTTATCCGAAAAGGTGCTTTTTATTCAAAGATTGATAGATTTAGTATACAATGATCTTCCACAGTGAAATATGTTTTTTTTTCCAAAACGATTGCAATCCAAGACGAAGACAAAATGAATGTGCGCGCTGCATAAAAGTCCAATAATGTTGTCAAGAGAACGTTTTTAGATGCTGTACATGTATTATGTAAAAATCTGGTTGCTTTTCTTTGAAGGTTAAAAAGCAACACAGTTTTCTTTGCTAAAATTGGAGACACTCTGCGCATCACGTGTCCCCCTTATAAGGAAGAGAGTATGTGGATGGTGGATTATAAAGATTACGTTACGTGTAACGCAACGTGTGACTACTACACGTCATCTGCTGTGTGTAACACTCCCGACTCTGTCGCGATAAAGCAAATCTATATCTGGGACCGGAATTTACATCCAGATAAGAAAGTGACGTTTTTACCTGGATCCATGCACTTCTTTATTGGTAAGTATCTACGATGTGTAGCAATATCAAGCGTACACTGCTCTTTCTTGGGATTCTTTGTCTTTGTTTTGTGTTGTTGGTTTGCTTTCTTTTTCTTTTGCACTCGGAATCCCTGTGGTAAAAGGGGAAAGTAAGAAGCTTGAGAGAGTGAACACTTTCGCATCAGTCTCCAATCTCTAACCCAGAGCCCCCCAGCGCTTACCTGCTTTGTCATCAGCGTTGTCAACGCCTGCAGAGGCGCCAGCCCGCTGAGCGAAAACCCGGATGACTCCCTTGGCACAAGATTGCGTCAATCTAACTAGTATCTCTTGGTCCGGTTAATGTACCACCACAGGCAACCCACAAAAAGGATAATAAATCAGAAAGAAGCTTGCGGAAGAAGTTTTTATATTATTTTGGTTTTCAGGCCCGTCTAAAGGCACAAGTTATTCACTACACAACCGCATAGGAGGGCACTGCCGTTCACATAACCTCAAAGTTGCTGTTTTTGTGTGCGATCCAAGGGATATCAACTGTGGAGGTAAACGTTTTACAAGTTCAGAATTTCAACGATGTAATGAAATATATAGAGAAATAAATGGCACTTATCATTATACAAATTTTTTTTTAAATATCAGAGTGTTCATTACCGCTTGGTATTGAAGATGGACGGATGAAAGCTGATCAAATCAGCGCCTCGTTGGAGTCGGACGACAAGCATAAAGCAAGCAATGCCAGGCTTCATTCTTCTTCCATGTGGTAAGTTAAACGCTAAAATAGTTGTACAATAACGAAAGTTGACAAAAACTTAAACAACCAAAAACAACTACAGTGCCAACAACAGCAGCAACAGCAACGACAACAAAAACAAAGACAACAAAAATAAAAATGTGAAAGTAGTAACAACATGGGTAAGACCAACAACAACAACTGAAGATAACAACTGATTCAACGATGTCAACAACCATGACAACAGATCAATCAACAGCAAGTTTATGTGCAGGAAGTCTTTCATGAAATAATCATAAATATTTTCGGTTTTCATTCTTTAATTTTGCTTTATATCTCATGGTTGTATCACCAGTACCTTAAAACAGAACTCATGGTGTGTCAGTCAAAGCCTCAATATGAAGCACTACATTCAGTTCGACCTAGATCATATCCACTTACTGTCAGGGATTGCTACTCAAGGCTCACCCCATTCCCCCAGATGGGTGAAACAGTATTATTTGACCTATAGCTTTGATGGCAAGGACTGGACGCGACACAAGGTTTGTACTAGTAAATTTAGTATGCGACTGTGGGACAGCACGGTACAGAATTGACGACATCACTTTGAACCAATCACAGCGCCTGATATCGCTGCCAAGCCAATGAAAGTACAAGGCCATGGCACCGTCACCGATATGACACGGCACGTCCGTACTGTTTTTTTTTCTCATAGTTAGTACTTAAAATTGTCTTCGAGTATGATCGCGCGTTACGTTGACAAGTGGCCATTGCGTTACCTTAGTATCACGCGTTACCTCATTACTGAAATGAGTTGTGTTGTGGCCGTATATATATATAGGGTTACTGATTTTGGCTACCGCATGGCATGGCCTTTGAAATATGCCTTTACTGTATAAAACTAATTTACCTTTTCATCATTACTGTATAAAACTGAGTTAAAGAAGTCCAGCAAGTCTCAAAAGTACTCTTTTCATTTTCATTTTTCTGCAAGTCATTTGATGGCAACAGAGATCAAGACTCGATCGTTCGTCATTGGTTCAAGCCTCGATTTCATGCTCGTTTAGTCAGGATTTACCCAGAGACGTGGAATGGAGCGATATGCTTACGTGCTGAGATCTACGGTTGTCGAGTAGAAGGGCTGACATCATCTGCACTTCAAGAAACATCGTTATTTGTTCCTCAAGGTATGCAATATCTTGTCATATGATGTGCTAGGCAAAAACTGATTGGCTCGTAATGAGCAAATGGTTTTTTTGGTAGATTCAGAATAGGTGGAGTGGAGAAAGTTCCTCTCCCCAGTCCCTAAACAGACACACGCCAACAGATGTCAAAGATAAGCAAAATTATAAATCAAACCATATATATTACAGACATCCCTTTTACATTTCATTTAGATCAGTTTTCGTATGACTATAAAGCTCATGCACGTCACGAACACGGTCGTGACACGGCAAGGCATACGCCAGACCAATCACATTGCACTAGAATTTACTCTTTATCCAATCGGATACCTAGAACACAGCACGAACACGGCGCGGACACGGTCACGCCAAGGGCACGGCACTGCCAGACCAACTAGATGCATTGCGCGATAAGAAATCAGCCAACCAAGATCCTAGAAAACATCACGGTCACGGCACGGCACTCTTACGGCACAGAGATTTTCAGAGTCATGCGAGAACTGCTCTATGTATTTATTGTATCAATAGGACACTTTAAATCCAAAGACGAGCATCGTGTACTGTGTGGCTCACACAAGTGCCATCCTTACGCTACTTGTAAAGTGAAAAGCGGTAAACCTTACTGCACATGCGCACTGGAATGTAAAAATGGCAACAAAGCGTGTGGAAGTGATGGACACGTGTACAAAAGTGTCTGCGAGTTGAAGAAAAAAGCCTGCGAGAAAAACAAGTTAATAAAAGTAGCCAAGCCAACCAAATGTGGTACGTAGTAATGATAACCCGCGTAGGCAGCTGATCTGAGAAAAACATGTTTAGCCAATCAAAGTCGAGAAATTTTCCAAATTTGATTTATCATTTTTAAATAAGATAAATAAGAAATGCTGTGGAATTGACTATTTCCGTCGATGACCCAGTCACAGCTCTCGTAATCACAATTGAGATTTTTCGTTCCTTTAAATTTTTCGTTTTTTCAGTGTTGAAAGAATCCGCTCTCCAAATGTCCGATCCAGATACCGAAGAAGACGACAAACTGGATTACTCCATAAAAGTGATTTTCATTACTTTGATTCTGCTTAGCGTGATTGGTCTGATCATGTTCGCTGTCATAGTAACCCGATGGATTCAAAGCCGGAAATAAAGGTGAATTTCATAGTAGATACTGATTGGATGACGACTATTTGCGTTTTGATTGGTTGAGGTCGAGAGTGGAAGCCATCTAATAGTCCTTGGTACAGTATCGTTGTGATTGTATTGTGAGCATTTTCTTGCGTGTCATTGGTTGGGAGTGGAAGCCATCTAACAGACCGGGTGTTGTAGGGTTAAGATCAGAAACCATTTCAATGTCTACCGCAATTCATTCACATCCTTACAACATTTAATGGTTTTGAAATGGTTTTTTTTTTAAACGTCACTGTTCTCGAACCACATTTCCTTTATGCCAAGCATAATATAGTAGTCGTTCAGTAGAAAACATAATGAAGTGAAAGAAGGCGTGTTTACAAATAATAAATCACGAAGCGGCAAGATGGCTAGCTTGGTTCCTGGTTGATGTTTACGCAGGAAGTGATTGTGGTACGAACCTGTCCTTTGAACCATTGCTTTATCAAAAGACACAACTGTTCACCTAGTGTCGACAATTTTCCCTTAGGGCTGTTGACTTTAAACAGTTCAATATTTGCGGTTTAGCGCGTCCCATTTTGAAATCTTTCGCTACTATCAATGTATTGTATTCTATTGTTACCATAGCCTAAGGTTTTCTTTTACATATTTTTCTCTTTGTTAGATTTCCACAAGTCAAGCGAAAACAGGCCAAAAAATTCTAGGACTCCAGAAGCAGTTTATTCAGTAATGCATCCATTTATTTCTTCTCGAGAAGAAATCCTTCCTACATCGATCACTTCATAAATAAAGATAACGCCTTTTTTACAACTATGGAACGCGTTCTTTCGATATCTCTGTTCTGGTTTTCACTATTCATTCTAATCCTCTTGTTTCAGTGCTTCAGTACCGGCAAAAACGCATAACCGAAATTTCCATTTTGGCGTTCTTTCGTTTTCGGCAAAGTATCAGTTATTTCAAATATGTGTTGAATAAATTGTATGAGACCCTATGACAAAGAAGTAAATAATGTCGTGTTCAAAATATACAGGGATTTTTTCCATCTCATTCCGGTCTTATAATGGCGTACGATTGGATAACGACTTCTTAAAACTGCATTTTCTTTTATTTCCTTCTCCGTATCAATACTTTTATTGATATTTATGAAGCAGATAACTCCTTTTTTTCCTTACTCCGGACATCAATGCTCCAGATAAACCCCCTACATTTTCCTACAAAATTTTCATTTTTCTTTCACATCAACGATAGGTTTGCTTTTGTCATCCAAAACTCGCGTTCACTAAGCACGATATAAAATTCTAATCCAAATGACGACTTCCACAATTGTTTGCTGAAAGCTTAGATAAGCTTGTTCACACAAATCTTAACGAATGAGTAATGACTTCCTCTCTGCTTCGTGGCATTCAAAAACTGTCACTAGTGAACAAGCAATGGTTTGATAAAACCCATTTGTTCTGCGGCAAATCCCTTGAAAATTTTCAGTCAATTTTTTATCAAAAAACGCAGTGCTGTTGGCACAAAAGCGGGAGTGATAAACAACTTGAACTTCGAACTTGTTGACACCGCAGTACGTCACAAAGAGATGCCATTTAACCAAACAATTTTTCTATTATCTTTTATTGGAAATGATAGCTATATTCTGTCCCAGAAATGATAAATGAGTTTCTCTAGACATTGACCTGATAAATTATAAGAAAATTGCATGGTTAAAGGCTATGATCAGCACCTTTTCCTCTTTGTAGTAGGGCGTCCTGTACCGTGTCGGCCACTCCTAGTTACGAAGCACCGATTTGTTCAAACAATAAACTTAGTTTATTAATCAAAGTTTGACAGAGTATAGAACTAATTTTTCTTTGGTGTCAGAGGTATTATTACTAAGCTAACACTAAGGGGTTTCCTTGTCTCTGGTTTCCTTTTTAGATTCACTAAAGCTATAGATTGAATTTTTTTCCTTTTGTGGAGTCGTTGGTGCTACTTCCGGTCATATTACTCGAAAATGTAAGAGTCTCGTGATTATAAAGAGGAAAAAATGCTTAATTGGAATTAGAACAAGCAAAAACCAGTTCAAGTATTTGAAGGAAAGAGAAAATGGGGTAGATAATTTCTACCAAAAGCTTTTAGCCAAAATTGAAAAATAATTAAGCCATGCTGCAAAGTTATGATCATCAAAGTATTTTCGCGATAAGAAAAAATTAGATAACTACACCAAAATTATTCACAAATTTTCCATTTTGTAACACAAGACATTAAAATGTAAGCTCTTACTGTTATCAGTGAAATTCAAACCAAAAAGCCTAACCTTTCGTTTTTGTCTTCCGTTTGCACAGTTTTACACGTTTTATTTGTTTTCCGGACGTTGTGTAAGTACATCATAATGATGAATTATTTCAAATAAATTTACAAAACTAGACTTTTGGTTTTGACGAGGAAAAAGTTCCAGGACGTTTCAGCAACGCTCCCAGGAACCTAACGGCTGTCCAGAAAAAGAATGTGACATATTAAGTGTGTTTATTAAAGTCAGTAATAAACGCCTATCGACTCTTCACCCATCCGAAAAGTTACGTCTCATATAACGTCATAAGCTTGAGGGTTACTTAACTTTAGTGGGGGAGGAGTAAAATACTTATTATCGCTACACTAGTTTCTCACTTCGTTTATATCAAAAATAACATTCTAGGAATAAAAATACTATTTCCTAAGATTTTGGTTATATTTTTTGGGTTTTAATTTAGGATTCATCTCGGGGAATTTTTGGTAAGCGTTTCTGGAAAGGCCAAATTTTCCCCCCACCCCACGTGTCTGCAATATTGACATTGGTTGTGGTTAAGTGGTTTTTGTGGGTGTCTTTTCTTGTGCTTTGTGAATCATATCCGTCGACAGAAGAAACGTGAATGCACTCTTCAAAAATCCTGCAATAATTATATTGCATGAGAGAAATCATTATCGGCTTGGTTAAATCCATCTCACCACTGCTGATTTTTGCTCTACATGAACAAAAAAACACCTCAAAAATAATGGACCCCTCGAGTTGTGCAAGATTACGAAACACAAAATCTTTCATCGTTATTTTCTTCATTATTATAAATACAGCTCTTTCAAATATTTTACCATCGATCCTATGGAATACAGACAATCCATTGTAAGTATATTGCTTTGTTATTTATTTATGTGTGTTGTAGTTTTTGAATTTTTGCTGGTGGCCAAGGTCGAGACAAGACCAGATAAACACGACAATGAACAACGTATCTATTGTGGTTCTTGGTCTTTCTTTATTCAAATTCTCGTAGTCGCTCTTTAGAATCGTGGTTTTATAGTTTTCATTAAGAATGAGCCGATGTAGAAGAAGAAAAACTTGATGCTAAAACTTAGAAATTTCTTGAAACTCTTGAAGTATTGAAGTGAAGACAAACAAAAAAAAAATAACGTTCAACCATCATTTTATCAGATGTTAGATTGACTTTACTATTAAAAATTCCGATTTTCTTAATTCTTGATTATTTTGAAGAATATCGAAATCCTGTTTCCTAAATTGTATTTATATTACTATGACTTATACGAGTTCATAAAAATAATTGGTGTATAAGAATGTTCAATATGTTTATATTTCAATGAAGTCTTTTGTATTTCATTCATATGCAAATTTTTGTAAATTTGCTAGTTTTTACAATGCAAATTTTTATATTGCCTGTTCCTTTCTTCAGCATATATAATGTTATATCATATACGTGGTGGCAATTATGACGACACTGACTATGTCTCTCTTCAGGATTAATGTATGCAACTGATCAATATGCATTCACCAATGCATGTATCTATAAATAGATTTCTTTGTTGAAAATATTTTTCACTTCTTTTAAATGGCTGTATTTGTGAGCTGTTTTGGCTGAAAATACGTTACAACTTAAAAGCCCTATTCAAGCTAGAACATGTATTGTCACAAATTATGGTATCTGATTTCAAAATAGCAAGAGATTTTTTTTAAATTTGATGTTGATTTTGTTTTTACCTAGTTTTAAGAATATTGGAGATCAAGCAAGAACAGTATTTCTCAATAACAAGATAACCTTTGTGTGTCCGAACACAGCATTATACTCCATCAAAAGAAGAGATCCATTAAACAAAGATGTTTTGTATGCAAATATCTACAAAGTAGATAAACAAGGCTATGATAACTGCAATTCTACTGATGGATTAAAGATACGTATATGTGACAAGCCTACTGAACTGAATTTTAAAGATGTCTTGATAAACGAAGTTTCATCAATGGCATCTATTCCTGAATTTCACAAGGGGAAAACTTATTATTTTATTGGTAAGTTTGAGTTATTGCTTACAAGGGTTATTTTTGAGTTCTCTGGTTTATTTTCTCCCTCTATAAAAATCAAAATGTGAGTTGAGTGTTGTGTGTTGAATATCATGAAAGAACTGCCTTTACAGGGAATATTTTTTGAATGGCCGACATCTAAATCTATTTTGATCTTTGACTTAAAAATAGGTCTAGAAAGAGTGACATTATTGGAGCTGTTTGACTAATGAGAAATAATGTTTTATGTAGATACATCCTCTGGAACAGAAAATACTGTTAACAATCGTAATGGAGGACGATGTAAAACACACAATATGAGGATGAAAATTTATGTTTGTACAAATTTCTCCGATCCAAAATGTCCCCATGGAAACGAAGGTAGGAAAGAAAATTTGCCACATGAACTTTGTCTTTTTACCAGCTGAGTCGACCTTCAAAACGAATCAAGTTCAACCAATCAGAATTGAGGATTCAACATTCTGTCTTTTTATTAACGTTTCCAATGATTTTGCTAGGAGAACCCATGAAATATAAATTCTTTAATTTAATTATAAACAATAGTCAAACTCATGGTGAACTTACATTATTTTCAATTGACAAGAAAAATCTATTGCAAAATGCTAACCAAAAATAGATTACCTGTAATTGTTTTTGGGGAGCATGGTCAAATCAGCTGGTAGGTTATGCTCTCGTAAGATACCTATCCACTGTACGAAACAAGCATAAACTAACCCTCGTTTTTCTTCAGTTGTAAATGGAGGCTGGTCTCCATGGCAAGAGTGCAAATTTGGAAACCAAAGTCGTCATTGCAACAACCCCTCACCTGCTAATGGAGGCTATCCATGCGAAGGGAATAGTTCACAGTCCTGCACATCAATTAAGCCTACACAACCTAGTACCATTAATAATTATACATCAGGGAATAAGAATTACAGCTATGCTTTTACTCCAGAGAGAGGCAGTAAGTTTCATGTGAATCAATTACTGGCTTTGTTTTTTTGTAAAAATCAACATATTACTCAAGAGTTTTAGAAAATGTTCATACTCCCCTGCAAAGGGAAATTCCTGAGTTAAGAACACATTATTAGACATCAAATAGTTATATATATATTCAAGATTTTTTTTACCTTATTGGAATGGTATTACATATAGTAATTTCTTTAATCATTTTTAGGGAGGACATCTGTGGCTGACACCCTAGGAACACTAAGTGTGGGTGCTGTTGTTGCAATATTTCTTGTGATTTTTATTGTTGGATGCGTTCTTGGTCTAATTGTTGGTGTACTAGGAACACATAAAAAGCTGAAACAATTTGTGGTCAAAAGGAGACCAGGTAAGAAATACTGCTTTTGGCAAACCTCTATAGAAATCCCTACCATCACCCTACTAACACTCTACAACTGATATCCAACCATCAACCAACTGACACCCCACTGACATGCTACCAACAACCTAATGACACTCTACCATCAACCTCCTGACACCCTACCAACAACCTCCTGACACCCTACCATCAACCTCCTGACACCCTACCATCAACCTCCTGACACCCTACCAACAACCTCCTGACACCCTACCATCAACCTCCTGACACCCTACCATCAACCTCCTGACACCCTACCATCAACCTCCTGACACCCTACCATCAACCTCCTGACACCCTACCAACAACCTCCTGACACCCTACCATCCACCTACTGACACCCTACCATCCACCTACTGACACCCTACCATCACCCTCCTGACACCCTACCATCACCCTCCTGACACCCTACCAACAACCTCCTGACACCCTACCGTCAACCTCCTGACACCCTACCGTCAACCTACTGACACCCTACCGTCAACCTACTGACACCCTACCGTCAACCTACTGACACCCTACCGTCACCTTACTGACAATAATTTTTGGTTCCATAACTTATTCTAACTAATAACACTATTAACAACTACGTCTTGTTAGTATTAAACTATTTTCCTGTGTTTCTATTTCAGCACGATCAAATAATAATGCCAACAGAAATAGTTGTGCATCAACTGCACATTTTCGGCCTACATCATTTGCAAGTATACTTACTACTAGCACAGGAATTACCAATTTTGACCCTCCAGTTGAAAATGATAATTACGAGGCAGCCGAGTCAAGTATCATATGATGACAATGATTGCACGCCAAGCATTGGCAGTGGTGCACTGGGAACAGCCCCTTTTTACCAGGAATGATGGTTATGGTAATGACAACAATGATGGTGATGACACAAATAATATAAGCATATTGATATTTATTAGCCTTTCCGAGTTTGACAAAAAGATTGGCTTGAGAAGGCATCGCAGACCCAGTCTTACTCAATCAACCTCAGAATGCTTAATTATAGTGCACAGTAATAAGTGCAAGACGTCATCTATAGGATATTGGTAAGCAATAGTCCCCTTCACAGTTCCCTGCGCCATCTTGAAAGGTAGCCGTGCCTTTGCATTGAAGCGAGACGAATGGCAAACTTGCAATGATAGAGACATTGTCCAAGGTCCCTAACTTTGCATGCTCACCGTTCGTCTCGCTTCGATGCAAAGGCAAGGCTACCTTCCAAGATGGCGCAGGGAACTGTGAAGGAGACTATTGGGAGGATGTTGGTATGGGATGTTGGTTAGTATGTTGGTGGCAGGTTATCGTTAGGATGTTGGTAGGTTATCAATACGTTGTTAGTAGGTTACCAGTAGGTTGACAATATGTTAACATTAGGTTTTCAGTATAACAAAGTATTGTTTACTTTGAAAAAAAAATCAATTACCAAAATGGTTTGCATGAACAGTCAAATGCACAATTATTTTATTTATTACTGAGTGGACACCCAACTGAGACCACTTGAACAAACTTAACATTAAATTTAGCATTGTAGAATAAAAACTTCAGCCAATCAGGATCATCATATTGTCTCAGCCAATCACAATATTTCATTCATGTCATTTATACAAAATTTCACTCAATGCCGTGATTGGCTAAACTTTGTTTGAGTGGTCCTCGCTAGTGCATCTGCACAGTAATACCTCTTACAAAAAGAAAAACTATAGTTTCATTCATTTTATACTTTATTGTATTTTTTTACGAAGCACATAGTCTGTACATATATATATATATATATATAGTATAATTTTGAAAGAGTTATATGGAAGAAAATAAACCTACTTTTTAAAATAAATTGTATATTTTTTATTTAACTTTATCAATCTAAGTGTAGAGGTTTGAAGTTTTTAAAAATAAAATGCAAACTGATTACTGTATTGAAATCTGTGTGGATTCGTACTTGGATTCTACTTTGTCACACAAAAATAGGAAAAACTTTGACTTCCAGGTAAGTCTTGTCTAATTTTGAATTTGATTTTAAATCTTACTAACAAAATACAGTTTTCAAAATAATTCTCTTTACTGGTGAGTAGAGATTGTCAAAATGAGAGGCTTAAAATGTATATTTAGAAATTGAATTAAATTAATACCTGGAGTAGATGATAGGATTTTATGATCAACAATACTAATATAGTGTAGAGTGTTTTCACTCACGTGAGAAGGCAGCCATAAACAATATAAACTTTCTGCACAGTATTTGCATAAAAATAGAGTTCAATTCCCGGAGGATAGAAAATGTATTGTTTTGGTACCCCATAATGGCCACTGTGACGTCACATGAAAACGTTCTATAATGGGTAGTTAGACACCCAATATACTTTGACATTTCCACCCAAAAGGTCTTGGACTACCATACAAAAATCAAATGTCAATTGGCCACGTACAAAAATCAAAATATAATCGTCTACATACAAAAAAATACATTTGTTCAAATTCAAAAGTACTAGTACTCAAAGACTGCTTTAGAAATGTCTCCACTGCGCATGGTCTCAACGGCAGCTAGATACTCCTGCAGCTGAAATGTACGTACACCTAACTGTTCAAAATCAAGATATCGTACACCCATATCCTTAATGACCTGTATGGCTGGGGTGAAATTGAAAGGGTTAAAACTTGACGTCAAGATTTTGAGTTCCTTTTTGTAGATTTCATGGGGGTTCAATGTCACCTCTGAGCTTGGTAAACAAGCTCCTAATAGAAGAAGCTTACCGCCATGACGCAACCATTTCAAACTCTGCTCAAAACAACTGGGATCGCCTGTTGTATCAATAACAATATCAAAACCCCATTCCTCATCTTGTTCATTCTTTGCATTTCTAGCTTCGGTAATTAAGATATCAGGATTTACAACTTGGTATCCAAAATCCAACTGCTGTGCAATTCGTTGACGACCTTTTAATACATCTGACATAACGATTTCTCTGTAACCTCGAAAATGAAGAAATGAAGCCCACAATAGACCAGTATTCCCTGCACCGCATATAAGAATTTCAACATCAGCCTTGACTGGCGCAAGTAAATCCCAACCATGTAGCACACATGATAGTGGCTCTGTGAATAGGGCTTGCTCAAAAGTGACTTGGTGAGGCAGAGGAATGACATTCTTGGCCGACAGTCTGCAAAACTGTGCCCATCCTCCATTTCTTTTGACACCTATGGTTGCATTTTTACCTTCGATTTTACAAAAGAAGGGCTGTCCTTTGAGACAGTAGTCGCACATATTGCAACTCGTGTATGGATTGACGACCACCCTGGAAGAGAGACCAGAATCAAATTACCACTGTTTTCGTTGCTATCCTGATTGCTACCAGTGATTGAGACAAAAGTGGTGAAGTTATGGGGCAATAAACTATAGTCAATCAAATGAGCTGTTATTTAGTTCTCTTGGACCTTTATGTACTCTAATGATTCATTTAATTGACATTAGTCTATTGCCTTAACCTGTTGTCGTAGTTTGTCTCGATCAGCGCGGAGCAAATAAAAATGGTGGCGATGGTAGAAAAATAGATCTTAAACAAATGAGTAAAAAATCTGCACATTGAAGAGAATACTTGGATATGGCAAGTATGAAAGCCATTATATGGCATTTCTAATTACGCAAATCAAACGATGATGTCGTTAACCTGATTGAGTGACCATACAGTTGTCCAATATTACGCGTATGATCAATCGCGGGATTCCTGTGGTCGTATGATGAACCCTCCTAGATATTGTAAATTTAATCTTCTAGATGCAATTTCATTCAAGGAAGCTTAAAAAAATCCTCTTACTAAACAAGAATAATACAATTTATACTAATTATAAACAAGTTTAATATGGCTATCGTACCTGTAAAGACATGCCACGAATCAAAACAAAATGCAATTCGACTATAACGTACAAAGTTTGAAAATGAAAAAAATTCTTCAAAAAAATATAATTTTTAAAAGCTTTATGTTCTGAGACCTTCTCTTACCTATCACCAACAGTTACATGTTTAACATCAGCTCCGATTTCCTTCACTATTCCAACGAATTGATGTCCAAGGATGATAGATTTAGAGCATTCAATTTTCCCCTCAAGGATATCGAGGTCTGTTCCACTCACAGCAGCGTACGTGATCTTAACAATAACGTCATTTGCAGACTGTACATGAGGCATTGGTCGAGTAATAACAGATAGGTGGCCATCCCATAGCTGTACGGCGTTATTCATGGCTTGAATTTACAGGTATAATCAACGCGTATTTAGAACTTCTTCCGAACCGTCAAATCTATAAGTGCACTACTAGGCAGCCGAGCCTTGACCTCGATCCCATGTTTAGATATATCTCTCTTTCCCTTCCTTTTATCCATCCATTCTTCATTTCATATATTCTGCTCATTCATTCTCTCTTATTCCTCAAATCTTTTCCTTTCTTTTTTCTTATTTTTTTCTTCTCATCTCTCATCCTTCCATTCATTCTTCCTTTCCTAAATCTTTTAGCTTTTCATTCAATCTTCTATTCATGCAACTCTTCCATCCTCTACTCATATTTTCGTTCTGCCTATCTATACTTTCCCCCTTTCTTCCATCCATTCTTCCTTCCTAAATCTTTTATCTTTTCACTTATTCATTATTTTTCTTCTTTTTATCTGTCCTTCCCATCTACCTTTTCTTCTCTTTTCTCCCCCCTCCCCCTCCCCACTTTTTCAATATATCAATTTCCTATTCCATCATCCCAGTAGTATTATGAAATGAAATGAAAAAACACTCAATACTAGTAAATGCATTTTTTCCCATTCACTTCCCAGTTTGTTATACATGTTTATCCTCAACATTCATTCCAAATTAGCAGTTTTATTTTTGTAAATTAAAGAGTTACATATTCATTCAATCCAAATATCAAATATTTTTCTTTTTCTTGACCAAACAGATAAGAATTAAACTAAAGATGGATATGTTAACAGAAGAAGCAGAGGTAAGATGAATATGAAAAAGACAAACACTGTAAAGTTTTCTTTGTGTATCATTCAAGAAAACTTCCTACCTCCCATGGCCACCCCCTTTTGTCAGTGAGGAAGCATCTAACACAGATGGCAGAACTTAGCATAAGACATCTATAAGATATCAATGTTTGTTGGTCTTAATCTTTTCTGAAACTAAACATCAATTTGAATGGAAAAATGAACAAAAATAGTTCTTTATTATGAAATATTTCTTTCATGATAGTTTAGTAGTGAGAACATTTTCTATTAGTTTTTGACATGATCTTTTATGAAAGCAAAGACCTTGGTATTTGAGAAAAATCACAAAGTTATAAAAATACCTCATGAGCTTCTGCTAAATTTTTTTTTTAGAAAGATAACTATCTTATTTATCATAATGTTTTAACAATAATTACTAATAATAATAATCACACTCCTTCAACTGTATTCTTCATAGCATTAATTAAGTTTTCAAAATCTGACTCCAAACTGAGGATGACACCTGGAAAAGAATTAGAAAACGTTATTGAATAAAATTAAATATTTGAAGGAAGGAAAAGATTTATATTAGATTAATAGTCGATTATTAAACATAACTTTTAAAAAAAGGAAAGTAAAAAAATGGAAAAGGCAAGAAACTGAACAGACCTGTGTTTGCGGTACTTGATGCAATGACACTCACTACAAGTGGCAGATAATTGAAATGAACAACCTAGAGAAATCAAAAATTCACAAAATTAGAATGATACAAAATTGGTATTTGTGCCTATATACCAAGACAAAAGAATATATATCCTTACTTGGTATGATGGAAAAGAGCAAATTATGTTTTTGTTTCTTGATAATCCAAGTTTGCTAGCCTGAAAATAATATCATTACTAATATTAAGAATATGAAATCAAGTTTCATTATTATGAAATCAAATAAGCATGTGGTGGTTACACAGTAATGCGAGAAGATCTATATGGCAATAATAAATTAAAGTTTATAGTATATAGCTGCTTTATGGCAGAAAGAGCAATTCTAAAATATGAATGACTTTAATTCTATAGACCTTTCGTAAGATAAAGAACATGGTGCATGATAGTCTAGCTGAACCGTCCAGCTTGGGTACAAACATCTTTTGTTCATTATACATTTTATGGTGTTATGTATGCCAAGGCTATACCTGAATGCATCATGTTTATTGAATTCAGAAAAAAAATCTATGTCATGTCTATTCTCTTTGCAGTGTTATTTCATTTTTTGTTCTTTCATATGTTCTTAGAGTGCAAGACCTTCACAAACCTGTTCAGTTGCACTTGCAAATATTGCTAGGTAGCTGCTACGTAATGCACTGGAGGGAGCTCTTGCATCAGCAACTATAAAAAATATCAGGTAATTAGTGTAAAATATTTGACACCATGAAACAAACATGACTTTCTTTGCCATAGTAGCACTGAAATTGGTTGGAGGAAAATTTCTGAAATTTTGATTGGTTGCGAGTGAAAGCCCTTGGAAACTAAACGCATTTGCTATAAATATTCATTAATAATGTAGATAGTAAAATACTAGTATGTTACTACAGAAAAGCCTTAGCACACGCATTCAAATAACGATGTAAGAAAACATAGTCTTGGGACAGATTTTACAACTATTTCAGCACCTCTAGTTCTGACCTCTCGCATCACATTTTTGGAGTGGAGGATATCAGAAAAAAGGCGTTAGATTTACAAAGAATGCTTATTAAACTACCTTTGACGACTGGAACGCCATCTCTATCAGTTACAATGATGGCTAGAACGCCTTCAAATCTGCAACATCACCAAGGAATCAAACAAGCAGGTTAATTTAGACTTACCAACAAAACTAACAACAAATTCAATTCAATTTAATTCAGACATCAATAAAAACAGCTGATTACAAAAAAAAAACCACTTAATTTTATTTTTAAACCTCCCGAATCGGAATTATGATAATGTACATTATCTTAAGAAAGAAAAATGGTAACGGTGTCAAAAGATAGAGGATGAATATAAAAACAACTTGAAGTCAGTCGTATGAAGATCTCGTGACATGTAGCTGATTTCTTCAAACAAGAATGGTTGAAATTGATCGCCTTACCTTCTTAAGATTTCCTCAAAATATTGATGAATTCCCTACGAAATAATAAATTTTCTGTAAATACGATAAAATCATTCCTAAGAAGTAATTTAAAATCTTGAAAATTATTGAGTAATGCTTCTTACCTCCGACATTTTTTCAAGAGAGCGCAAAAATAGTCAGGCGTTCCAATTACAGGAAAAAGACTGGTACTAGCAATCACATTCCCATTGGGACCTATTGGACATCGCGCATTTTTCGGATATTTTCCACGAGTCTCGGTACTTGTTTCCTATATAAAATTTCTTTCATATAATTGAATAATTTCGTTTTATTTAAGCTCTTTGGAGGTGAATTGAATTTTTTTCTTGTATTTTCGAAGAGGGGAATAAAATTAAGAAACAAATAAAGAACGGCACCGCGAGCTGTTTTTCCCGCGCTGTCAAACATCTTTTATAAACCTCATTTTGATTGGTTAAAAAAGTCTTATTGTCGTTTGATTGGTCAAAAGCTTAGAAGCCTTATCCAATCAGAAGGCTTGTTAGAAAAGTTGTCAAAATAAGAAGAAGCAAAGATACCATGTGCATTTGACAGGATAGTCCTGCAGATGAATGTACTATTGAAGTACTCCGAGAAAAAACAGCTAAATAAGATATTTTTCTTTCAAGGTATAATTCATTTTATTTCCGTTCATAAATCTGTAGTTCAATTACTTATATTTTATCGGGAATAAGGCCATTTTTGTATGGATTGCAAGCGCGTTATCAGACAACCTCGTGGTCCGCCCGTAGAGGTTGAAGAAGGTCAAAAGAACTGGAGAAATTCAAGCGAGGTAAAGTTTCGGACTTTGTAAACATATTTTATCTCATTTATGACTTAAGAAATTCTTAGCTTACAGTCTTACTTGTGATTACGAGTATTTTTTAGAGTCTAAATACAGTAGCGTCGCTTTGCGCAAAGGTGTGAAGTCTGTCAAAACATACAAGAAATGTTCACCAAAAAATATTTACTTCGACGCCACGAAGCCTTTGAACCCTTTTACGAACTGTATGATGATATTCAGTAACGACGTGTATGGAATGTATATTGATAAGAAATCTTAGCATTATATACTAGTATATCATGGAACGATGGAATTTGATATCTTGACTATTATAGAGCTGTCAAGAATTCCCTTTCTAGAACCGGATGGGTTGTTATCTTTGAGAAGATAAAATTTCTTGTCTCAAAAATGCGCTGAAATTATCTTGGTTTATCATATTTTAGATGATGATGAATGAACAATCTTTTTGGTAAGTTTGATAGATTTTCATTGAGGATTTAAGCCATAAAGGTTGAAAGTTGGTTAGATGGTGTCCCAAGGGGAATGGAGATGATGTATCATTCCAAAAATATTCATACCACCCATATAGGTTATTGATATCAGATAAAAAAAGCTCCCTCTCCACCCAGATCGTCCATCATATATGTGTTTACTACATGTGAGGGAGATATGTACCCCTCCCATTATTTTGAAATTATATAAAAATGCAATAAAAAATGCACATTCCTTAACCTCTTCATGAGTGAGATGTGGATGCTTTTTAGAAGTATACAGTATGCCGTTCTCAGAGCTTCCTCAATCTTGGTAATCCACTGCACTTCCATGAGATGAGGTGTAGACACTTTCAGTCCCTCCCCATCCCTTGGTCTATTACAGTCTTTCTTAATGATTTTTGATTATCCCACCAGTTCAGTTGATGAGAACATGAATAAAACAGCAAATGAACAAGTACGCAAGAGTAGCATAAGCTCTGCTTACGGAGCAGAGTCTCCTGTTGGTGATAAAAGTTTTACAGGTCTCAATGATGATGTATTTGGTCCCTCAGAGGTTAGTTAATAAGAAGATTAATGATATTCATGATACTTCAAACTTTAAAGTTTTGCTTGCATAAGCAATGATCTCGATTCCGTGCAGTGATTGAGCTAGCAGTTCATGACCTTATCCTATTATTTTAAAACTTAATGGAAACCCTGGAAATTATGATAGGATATACTTGACTTAAGTTATGTTTTGTTACCAGAGCTCATATTTTTTACGATACTCAATATTTGTTTATATTACTAAGTTTCTTTTTATTGCCTGATACTAAAATATTTGCTTCCATTCCTTGCAGGAATTAGTCTATGTAACCCATATCGAAAGCCCTAGCTTGTTTTGGGGTCAGGTAGAGTATCCCTTATTTAACTTAGACTATATTTACCTAATAAAAAAACTTATAAACCTAACCAACTTAAGGGTGTTCGGATAAAGAGCCAGTGAAACTCTCTTTCATTTGTTTGATAAGGATTCCCAAACTAATAGTATTTCTTGGAGAAAACCTAAGCAAAAGTTGACCAAATTTTCTAAACTTCCATCACAGTAGTGATTTCCTTTTTGTTTTGTTCTCGTTAAATATAAATGAGTTTGAGAACTCTTAATTAAAAAATCCACAAATTTTATCAGCTTGCCGATGATGAGACACAAGAAAAAGTGAAAGAAGTGACTGAAAAACTTCAGGTATTTTGTGGAAACAGACCACTATTACAAGGTGCACCAATCCTAAGAAAGGTAAGACTACATAAAAAATAATAAAAAATTTCAAAATGATACTTTTTATAAGAATATTATCTCTCTTCTATAGTTCTCAGGTCTAAACTAACAGCTGTTCAGTCACCAGTCATGGTAACTGGACTAGCCAATTTAGTTTTAGATTGGTCATACATCATTTCTGGTTTAACGTCAATAGTCAACATGATCAGCAAGACCAACATATGACTGGCAGTTATATTTAGCCCTCATCCTATCAAACAAATTTTCTAGTAAAGCGTGTCTCACAGCAACAGCAAGATTTAATGCCCAAACATGTGGATAGGGTTGCTTGTTGACTTTAACTTACAAACATTATAGTGATGCAAAAGTTGAGATTTTAATTGAAAATCAATCTAACCTTTGTTCAAATAATAAATGTTTCTGGATTATTCCTATAACATTATTTAATCAAAAAACGTTTGGCTAATAATCAGCTAAATACGCATTTAGCATTAGTATTGAGCTAACACAATCAGTACCCTTGTTTGCTCCAACATATGAAGACTCAAAAGTATGATTCAATAGTTTTTTTAAATCCTCTTTTATTATAGATTTATGGGGGTATTTATACTGGAGATGACCTATGGTACAGATGCAAAATACTAGAAAACTTAAATGATAATAAGGTAAGATGTAATATCAAATAGAGTAAGCTGAATGAATTAAGGTGTGTATATTTAGCTAAGTTGGTAAACTTCTCAGTAATACGCTGTAATTTCATGTGCAAAATGCAGCTGAACCTCTTTTAAGTGGCCACCTACATGTGTTAAGTGGCCAATCCCTGATTCATTTATTGGCCAGCTGTCAGTTGCTGTATTTTACTTTTTTCTGTAATTTTGGCGTATTCAGATTTCCCTTATCCCCCTCCCCAGCTATTTATAGCTTTACTTATTGGCCACTTCACAATTCCCTGAGAATGAACTTTAAAAGTTTAAAATTTTAATTTTTCTTAATTAGCAAAGATTCTATACAAGCTCAGGATAGACCTTATTGAATGCCATCATTTTAAGCATTTTTTTTTCTTTATCAACAAAGGTCAAGGTGCACTTTGTAGACTTTGGTAATGAAGAAATAATCAGCCAAAGGGAGGTTGTGTGTTTATCACACGAATTGTACTCTCATCCACCTTTTGCAAGGCAATACAAGCTAAATGAAGTCAATGATCCAAAGGACCCTAATTCTGAGCTTTTTATTAAGGTGAGTTTGAAAAATCTTTAGTTGTTGTCACTTCCCTAAAACGACCTCTGGGATCAAAGTCAAGGCAAAGCTTTGGGATGGAAATTCTTTTTCCTTTTTGTATAGCTCACTTGTTGGAATTTTGGAATTTCATTTTTAGAATTAAAAAGTTTCCATCATGAATCAAGGGTAGTGTTGCAGGAATACACTTGCCTCTCATCTCTGGGGTCTGGATTGATTCTGGACTTCGCATTACATGCAAATAGAGTCTGTGAGGTCTCTCTCTTGATTTGAAGGTTTTTCTTCAGGTTCTCCAGTTTACTTCTTCTGCAAAACCTAACCTGATAAATTCCAATAAATCTGTGAGTTAGCTAAGCCTTGATATTGTCTACCCCGGAGGTTATTTCAGGGTAAATAGATGAAAATGTTTGTTTTTTAGTTTTGGTAAAACTTTTTTTAAGTTTGTTTTGACCCTTAGCTGTGAATAAAGTTACAGTGTTCTGTAGCAAATCTTGAATGAATGTTTAAACCATTGACCTAGTACTAATAACAGTATACAACTATTTAAAAAATTCTGAATTTTTTACAGGGTGTTGAGCATCTGTCTCATTTGGTGGCAGATAAAAATTTCATTGCCAAAAGGAGGAATGGTGCATGTAAGGCTCCAACAAGTAAGAATAATTTTAACAACTATTATTAGATAATATTACAAATTATTTGTAATAGAGTATTATTAATGAAGTGCTAAAGATAGAACTGATGGGATGAAACGTTTGGCAAGCCATATTCAAATAATAAGAGGAGTAATTTGGTTATCCCACAACATTCAGAATACATCCACCTGAAAAACCAAATTATTCAGCACTATTCCTTTGCGTAGGTTATTCCGCCTAGGTGTATCTTAAATGGCATGTGATATTTATTTATTATTTATTAGTTTCGCCATATATTAAACTGGAAATATAATAACTGGAAAAAAATACTGTCATATACATGACAGGGTGACCGCAACAGCGTTAAGCCAATTACTGTGGGCCCAAATGTCTTAAATGAAACTTAGTGCATAAAGATAATTTAAGTAGATATATTGACACATTTGAATCAAATAACTAACAACAGGAGGTAGAAAGAGTGAGGCTTCTGCAACAGTTACATTTTAAACAAACTGTTTTGAAAGTACGTGGGTCATAACAGTTGTAACTGTCCAGTGACGTTACGTAGTAACTTAACATGGCGCATTTAAATGTGTTGAGTTTGTCCATGTTCAGATTTAATTTTTCTTGACATGGCATGCAAGAACCCAATTGTCATTGTATTTTCTTGTGTACTACCTTGTGTATAGTAGAAAATAAAAGTGGCTCATGAAACATTCCATAGTTTGCCAGCCAAGACCATTGTATAACTATATTTTAGTTAAACTCATCACATAAAATAGTCTAAACTTATCAAATGTTTTTAAAAAAATTTCCTCCTTTGTTTTCTCTCCATAGATGCCTGTCCTGTTGATCTTATTTGCTTACAGGATAACACGAATATCAATCAAGAAATAATTTCAGCAGGATTTTCTCTAGAAGTACTGGAAGAGAAACCCTTGCAACCAAAGCCCATTCCCAACAAACCAGAGACAATTAGTTCCTATCAATCACCCATTACAAGTAATAACCAAAGAGCTTTTATTGCAAGTTCAGACTACAGTACTCCTCTCAGGAAGCCAAAAGATACTCAGGTATAAACATTAGACTGGGTTCTCCCAGTTTAATTTCTTTCTACACAAAATCCCTAATTGCAATCGGATGGGATAGTGTGTCCCTCTTAACCTCTTCTTTCATATCTTTATTAGGATCTGAAGCTGCAAGAGCTTGAAGAAAGCATTAAGGTTTGTCATAAGTTTACATTCTCTTTCTGCATGTTACAATATTGCGGCAGTTTCTGTGGTACTGAACAAACAGTTCTGTATTATTGAGCCAGAAACAAGGTATATATAACCAAGCTCATGACTGGCAACTGACATGTTTTTTCTTTTAGCCCTGTTGTACTATAAGCTGCACTTGCCAACTGGAATGTACCATATTTACTCATTCAAGAACTGCCCCTGATTAAATGCCGCCCTTAAATAAGTGCCACACCTAAGACCAAAATTATTTATAAGCGCCACCCCCGAATGAGCACCACACATGAAACCCCAAAAACGTAATAATTGCCGCAGCACTTAAATGAGTAAATACGGTACTTGATAACTTACTTAATAGGTTGTTTCATGTTAACTCATGCATGATTATAAACTCTGACTTTCATAGAATCAAAGCAAAACTATTGACACCCTCAAACAGATGTGCCGTCAACTGGAAGAAAGCAAAAAGTTAGAACTAAATGACAAAGAAAAAAAGTTCAGAGATCAACTTGAAGAAAGCAACAACCAGTTAAATAATGCCGTCTCTAACAAAGTAAGAATTGTTTTACTACTAACTAAATTTGGTCCATTGTACCTTAAATTCCTAAAGTTGTTTGATTTATAGTACACTCAACAAAATTACTCGACTCTGATTGGTCGAGAGGAGTACAATTATAGCGTTAATAGCGAATTAAGTCACTATGGAAACACGGCCAAAACAATGTCAACAGCGGCAAAAAAAACGCAAAAACTAATAAGAACTAATCTTTTTTATGCATTTCAGTTGCGCGATGGACTGAAAATCGGCTGCCAAATAGACAAAGATGAACAGTGTTGCTTCGCATTTTTTACTGAAATTTTGTTGAGTGAACTATAAACAAAAAATCGCACGATCTTCTCGTATTCCAAATTGTACTCGAGATGGTGCAATTTCCTATACTAACCAAACAATATTGTCAAATCAAGGCTTAGCATGATGTCTCGTGCATTTACTGTATTTTATCAAACAGATACTGTTTAAACTGATACAACAGATATTGGTTCACTATTGTCTGAGGGGGAACCATGAGTTCTCTTGAGATTAAAATTCTTTGTTTGAGTTGATATATTCATATTCACATGTCTCTTGTGTACCCTTAAAAAATGATACTGAGCAGGCGTAGCTCAGTTGGCTAGTGCACGGCCTTCAGAGCTAGAAGTCCACAGTTCGATCCTCAGAAACTCCACTTCTGTTTCGACTTCTCTCTGTTCTGTGTAGCTTTAATTAGCTTTAAATTCACGTAAAAAGGAGCACTGGATAGTAAGAGGGGGTAGAGGGGTGCACCTTCGAGCACATTAAACATGAGCCCTTGGCTCAGGAGAATTGGGCAACCACTCCCCACGTTATCGACGTAAAATAAATTACCTTTACCTTTTTTTATACTTTAGGGAATGACATGTGGTCTGAAATAGGAAAACAAGAATTTATTAGGTCTATTATTTTAGACTTCTGTTCAAAACCACAACCTCACACTTAAAGCAAATGTTTTACGTAACTAAGCTAGTCTCGTGTTGCTGATGATGTACTATTTTCGTAATTGATTCTTAGGTAGGACAGCTTGTATCTAAAGTTCACAGCCTTAGAAAAATCAGGTAAAATCTTAAATCCTTAACATTGTTCCTGTATCAGTTTAGTAAATGAGCTGGTCTTGAGACTTGGCATCAAACACAAACACAGCTTATTGAGTCAATTCCTTGATTCCTCGGTTGAAATGCAAACCTTTTGGAAAATCTTGCATTTGGGATTCTCTAGCAAATAGGACTAGAAGTAGGTAATATGACCCATGGGAATGTGTTTGAATTGAATCTCATATATATATTGCTTTGTTTTTATTTTTTATTTAGAAAAGAATCAAAGGACAACAGGAATAGCGTTTTGAAATGTATTCAAGATTCCCTTCAGCTTCTGCAAGAACAGATTAAGATGGATCTTGACAGATTTGAAGAATTGAATAAGGTATTAAAACTCAGGGTACAAGAGAGTAGTTGGGCCTAACCAACATGTTCGCACAGAAGACTGTCACTGCCATCCTGGTACCCGTCACACTTACCAAGGTGGAGATACTTACCATCTCCTATACTTACTCCTCCAAAGTTCTGAGAGGTGGATGGGGAAAAAATGTAGTTTCCATGAGCACTTGGTCAAGGAACAACACTACAAACCCTGCCATTACCCCTGAACCACAATGGGCTCCCCCCGACATGCTGTAAGGAGGCAAAGCCACAGACTGGTTGGACTTGGTTTTAACTTTGCCTAAATCTAAATTACATTCAGACTCAAAAAAACAATGTGTCAATCCCTTGAGTATTGTGGGCTAAATTGGAAACCAGCCTTATTCCTGTTTTGACACCGACATTATATAAAGATTATTGTTGTTTCTTTTGATTTTCTAAGATATGTCATAATGTTCAAGATATTTTTCTGCAGGTGAAAGAGATGGAAAACTTCCACAGTGATCTTCAGGATAAGATAAGACATTGCAGTGAAAAGGTAAATTAATGTAATGCCTAGTCTTAAATATAAGTACAACACTGGCTCCCCAGGTTAATGTCTGCTACATTCAGAGAACACCCCGCCCTAGCTTTGCACCTAGTAAACTTGATGTGATATTTTTAGGATCTGCTTCCTGGGTTAGTAGATGAAAGAAACAAGTTCAGACAGGATCTAAACCAGGCCATTACTACTTTTACTAGTTCCGTGGAGAACTTGCAGCTTGATCTTGTAAAAGTTAATTTAGAGGTAAATGTTTAATATGTTGAAATCAAGTGTAATTTAGCTTGGACTTTAACTCTCACTTCTGGGTTCAGTTCCTGTAATAGGCAAAACATGTGAGTAGAGTTTGTTAATCATGGTGTTTTGGGGTCCCTCAGTTTTCCTCCCTCCTCAACCCCCAAATTTCAATTTGATCTTAGAGTGTTGGCCATCCATGACTGATCAGCACAGGGGTTGTTTCAGGGTTCAATCTGTGAGATAGCCATGTCCCGACTTAGATCAGCACAGAGGTTGTTTCAGGGTTCAATCTGTGAGTTAGCCATACCCTGACTTAGATCAGCCCAGAGGTTGTTTCAGGGTTCAATCTGTGAGTTAGCCATGCCCTGACTTAGATCAGCCCAGAGGTTGTTTCAGGGTTTAATTTGTGAGTTAGCCATACCCTGACTTAGATCAGCCCAGAGGTTGTTTCAGGGTTCGATCTGTGAGTTAGCCATGCCCTGACTTAGATTAGCCCAGAGGTTGTTTCAGGGTTCAATCTGTGAGTTAGCCATACCCTGACTTAAATCAGCCCAGAGGTTGTTTCAGCTTTATTATCATAGCAAGAGGTGCATGCCACCTATATGTTTACTGCTTAAAACTTAAAACTGTCTGTTATACTCTTTTTTTTGTTTTTTTGGAAAGGTGGCGCTAACCTCACTTTACTTAAATGTTGGTGACAGCTCTAGAATGGCTGTAAATACTTCCAGTACTCCCAGACTTGAGGTGGTAGAGGAGTATAAAGCATTTCAGGTAGGATTCTCATCTGGGTGGCAGATTATCAATTAAGGGGAGACTTTGGTCACCCACCCAAACACGATTTGGGGCTTTAGTCCCCATTCCCCCACTCCTGCAGTACTCCAGAGCGCTATAGCATTGGTAATAGACTCTATTTTGTGATGCCTCTAAGGGGGATATATTGGATTGTGGCACCGCCTATGCTCTTTCTTTTCTTGCTTAACTCATACGAACATTGTTTTTTAGGGTTCTCTATGAATTTAGCTATATAGTGATGCTGAAAAATCCACTTAAAATATCATGTAAAAACAGTTATAGAATAAGGTTTTGACTATTATTTCTGTTTTTCACTTAGACCAAGAAAGACGAGGACCTCAAGGAAATGAACATGTTGGTTAATGAAAAATGTAGTATGCTTATTGATGTACATAGCAATATTATGAGGGTATGTATATGAATACTTGTCGACCTAAATACAATATGTCATGCTTTTGTTAAAATATTTTGTATAAAAATGTGAAAAGTTTCTTAAAACATTTTTGCATCTTTGTTGTGTGAGATGCTCAATTGCCATCCTTTGATTCATCTTATAAATTTGATGCAACATGACTTATCTGTCAGTATTTAAATAGTATGTTTTATTTAACTTATCCAAATAATGTCTAGAAGTATAATTTAATTTTCTACTAAAAAAAATTGATATTGAACTGAATTTGGCCAAGAAAATCCATGTTAAAGTTGAATGCAAATGAGGACAATAGACCTTATTCTTGGTGTGACAGTGTTTTCCCAATTCAGCGCGTGACAAACCTCTGGGGGAATGAAGAGCTATTTTTTTGAAACTCGTTGGGATATCATCGTTATTTCTTTTTGTATCCTTTGGGCTACTCATGAATTTTTTGAAGAATAAAAACAAAAGAAAATGAATCGACTGGAGGTTGGTCACGCTGAATTTGGAAAACATTGTCGCACCATGAATAAGGTCTATTCTGTATCCAATTTACAGACTTCTCCTGGGTGACTGATTTCAATTTATTTTACTCTTGTGTTTTATAGGTTTTAAACCTGAATGAAGAGGTGGAAAGCATTGAGTCCTGTGCAGCTGGTATTGCAGAACTGGACAATATTATGGGAGTATTGGAGGCACTTACCCAAGAAGAAATAGCAAAAACCAAGGTCAGTGTAATAACCTTGCATGTTAAACATTCTTGTTTTACAAGGGTAGCACTTCTATCTTAAATTGTTTATTAAGAATGAAGTTTGATCAAATCAAATTCAAGGGTAATATGTTGTATTATTAATTTGATATTTTTTTTGTAGTGTTCGGAAGCAGAAGAAAACTTGCGAGCAAAAGCAGTAGCTGCATTAATTAGTGAGCTGCAAAGCCAGCTGGCATGTGTGCAAGAGCTAAGGTATCAAAATGTCATTTTATGAATTTTATTGTCGTGAACAGTGATTGTCGTGGCGAGAGCGTAGTCTTAAGAAAGATTGGTGGTGGTGGTGACTAATGTTTCGACAAGGTCTGAGCGGAAATCATCTTGGACTCTGAAGATGACTTTCGCTCAGGTTGTCAAAATATCAGTCACCACCAACAACAGTCTGTCTCAAGACTACACTCACCCAGACCATTACACTTCACAACAAACTGTCAGTTATCACCAACAACAGTCTTTCTCAAGACTACACTCACCTGGACCATTACACTTCACAACAAACTGTCAGTCACCGCCAAAAACAGTCTTTCTCTAGACTACACTCACCTGGACCATTACACTTCACAACAAACTGTCAGCTACCACCAACAACAGTCTTTCTCTAGACTACACTCACCTGGACCATTACACTTCACAACAAACTGTCAGTCACCACCAACAACAGTCTTTCTCAAGACTACACTCACCCAGACCATTACACTTCACAGCAAACTGTCAGTCACCAACAAAACAGTCTTTTTCTAGACTACACTCACCTATTCTAGACAATCAGTTTTCACAACAAACTTCAACGCCTAGGTTCAAACCTTTTGCTCTTAAAATGAGATAACATATACTTTATTCTTGCTTTAATTAAGCACTGACGTAGAATTTAATAGTTGTATTCTAATCCACAGAAAAACACTGGAGTATTACACTAAATTGCAGGTATAATAATAAAAAAAACAGTTTTATAAAATAAAAAAAATTTAGTCTTTCACATTACTATATTAATCATTTCAAACTATGATTTTAAAAAAATTATTATTTAATAATTACGATTGTTATCAATAAATTTTAATCATTATGATGACCATTACTAGTTATTGCTAATTATAAATTTAAAATTATTATTAATGATCATCAATAATCATTAATAATGATGTTTGATAAATCTTAATTAAAAGTTATTAGTACTAATTCTTTTTTCTTGATACCRTATTTATTTGATAAAAGCAAAATATTAGGCGCTCTCTCGATGAAAAGCCAGATATTCAACAGGGGTTGGCTGGCAAAAAGAAAATAAAAAAACAAACTACTGTCCTTAAACGCAAGCTTCTCGACGAAACTGAGTTGAAAGAGGTACAACACTTATATTAGCATTGATTTTACTGTAGCTTTCCCTGTTCAAATGAGAGGGCCCTAGAGGGTTACAATGGGGTCAGCAGGGATTCACCTTTTTGTGGGCTGGGAAATGGAATTTTATGCACTGGGAATGGGATTCACAAACAAAACAAGAAAACAATCAATAAATGGAAATTGGATCAAGATTTAAGCAAAATATAGGCTGAGACTATGGGAGTTAAAAAATGGGAGTTTATGCATTGAGAATGGGATTCACAGACAAAAAACAATCAAAGAATGGGATTAAGATTTGAGCAAAACAGACTGGGACTATGGGATTGGATTTGGTCAAAATGGGGGCAGGGAAATGGGATAAGGACCCCACTTCAGGATCCTCAAAGGAATTTGCATCCTTGATATTGTTTACTGGGGATTCAAGAGTCTAAATAATCAATAATTTAATGGTACTTTTGTCCCTTAGGGGAAAAAGGGAGAAATGAAGAGGAAACGGTCATTTTTTTCAATTTTCCTAGTTTTTTTTTGTCATTATGTGATTTACCAATGAGTGCTTTATAACCAGCTTCTTACAATATTTTGTTTCTTATCTTTAAATTTAAGAAAATGATAACAGTATATTTATTTAATTGATATGCAGACAGAAGACGTCACAGAGGAGGAACTCCAGAAGGTAATCAATACTTTTTCTAGATTTCTTCCTTAAACAAGGAATGTACGCAAACAAACTGTGCTATAATTTGACATAATTATATAATCTCTTGACAGAAATAAGTTTTTGTATCCTTGAAAAATATTTTTCACTTTTTGTGAAAACGGACACTTACCAGATTTGTTATTTTGACACACTAATAAAGACCATGATGGCCAGTGAAAGGACAATAGAGGCTTTGCACAATCACATGATGGCAGCCATGACAGAAGGCACAACCAAGCCTTTTTCCCTGGGAAACTAAATTCTTTATAAAAATAATAAAAATCTTATGAATGAATAAATATCTAGTGTCTAGTCGATCTAGCGCTTTCGCACTTTCGCCCTCATAGCACAGGAGAGAACAACACATCAAACAAACTCAATTCACATGTGGAGACCGCAGGGCTCGAACCAGCGACCAACCCGTTGGACTCACAGCAGTGAAAGACGATGCATTATCATTAGACCAGATTCCATTGTTCCTGCCTCCTGTCATGGCTGCCATCACATGACAGTGCAGCGGGAAGCCTCTATATAGCTAAATCAGGTTCCTGTAAACCTTTATATATCTAGCAATATTTATTTGTTTGATCACTTTCTATTGCYTATTCATCTGCTGTAAATTTTATCTCTATCAGCCCATAGCGATGAAAACATGTAAACGTCTGTCCCCATTAAAAAAATATCCAAGAATTTAATAATGGATTGTTTTGTTTATTACAGTTGAAAGAGGAGCTAAACTGTCTCTACCTTGAGCTACACAGAACTTTTGTTGAGGAAGATACCATAATTGTGAGTAAATATATGTTGTATTTTTGAAACTCAACGTTTAACTCTGGCTCTTTCTTCTCAATTTTTCCCTATCAATTAATTTTATTTACTTTTTTTGTATTAAGAATAACCTGGCCAACTTGTCAAAAGAAGATTTTCCAGAGCTGTTGCTGCAGTACCCTGAACTGGAGATTTCCCTATGTTTGGTATGATATATATCACATTTCCTCTCCCCTGCTCATTTTCTTTCTTTCTTTTTTCTTTCTTTTTTTTTTTTTTTTTTCTTTTTTTTTTTTCTCTTTTTTTTCCTCTTTCTTTCTTTCTTTTATTATTTTTTCTTTCTGGGGATTCATCAAAAAAGAAAAAAAAAACATCACTCTTCTTCTTCCTTGCTCCCTTTTTCTTTTCTCTTTCTATCTTGCTTGCTTGCAAAACTAATCATTGTTGTTATCCATCTATTATTTATCAGAAAACCAATGGTCTTGTTAAAAGTGGTAGGGCATTAGAACAGTACCCTTTGGAGGAGTTGGAGTCGGGTGTCTTTACTTCCTTCTTCTGTGAAAAGAAATGCGTGATCAAGGTACATTATTGAGACTAAACTCGCAAATATACTGCTAGCAAAGCATGTTTTCAGTACACTTGTCCTCTTCCTCCTAATCACTTTATTTGCAGTACCTGACTTACGAATCAAAATGTTGTAAAAATTTCAGCCAATAACTTTGACTATAGAAACTAATGACATGAAATAAATGAAACTAAAAATTGTTAGGTCGTAATAAATGATACTCCCCTATCTGTTTGTCTCATGATTGAATAAGGGTCAATTATGTAGAAAGGACTTACATTTCAACTGCAAGCTGCTTTATCAGTCTTGAACCAGGCAATGGTGTAGACTGGATGCTGCATTACTTTGTTATGTACTGCTTGTGACAGATCATCTGTGTTGTGATTGAATAGTTGATTCATGCTGTGATTGGCTATTTCTGGTTTACCATGTGACAATTTATTTGGATTTGTGTTGTGTAGGAGTATTTCTTCAGGGATGCTGCCAGCAAGGATCTTTTTCAAAATCAAGCTGTTGGATTCCATGGCTGTGTTCACAAGCAATTGATTAGTCTAGAGGCAGTCTTCTACAATAAGGTACCACTATCAGGGGACCACCTAGTGTATCTATCATTAAACACCCATTAGATCACTGGGCCACTCCACAAAATCTGTCACTGGGCCACCCAACTGAAATGGGCCACCAAAATGGGTCTATCACTTGACCATCCATTGTCTATCACTGGGTCACTGGACCACCCATTGTGTTTATTACTGGGCCACCCACTAGTTCTATTACTAGCTTATCCACTGGGTATATCCCAGGACCAACATGCGGCATATCGTTGGCCCATCTACAACTATCATTGGGACACCCGTTGGGTTTATGAGACAAGACATACTGTACACAACATCATTCTATCTGTACTCTGAATATTGTACTTCATTTTTTAACAATATATTTTCTTCTCAGAATGGAAGAATTGGCTACTTACAGGTTCCTTATTATGAACCACTACAAGAATGGCTGAAAACAGAACCACAACCAGAGGTATTTAATTCATACATGTATGTTGATACTAATGACTCCTCTATCTACACACAGGTATTAAAGCAGTTTTTGTATGACTCTGAAAAGCTCACGGCACGAACACGGTTGTGACATGGCAAGGCATATGCCGGCTCAATCACATTGCACAAGAATTTACTCTGCATCCAATCGAATGGCCCAAACACGGCATGAACACGGCACTGTCACAGGTCACACTAATGTCATGGCACTACCAGACCAATCACATTGTGCAACAAAAATCACCCAATCAAAATTCTAGAAAACATCACGGTTGCGGCAAGGCACACATACAGACACTGAGTTTTTCACAGTCAAACGAAAACTGCTCTGTTCCTTAAGGGTCCAAATTAACTTTTGTTTCAGTCCAAGAAGATGATAATGAAGGATATTCTGGAAGGCCTAGAAGAGCTTCATAGCTGTAACATTGTCCATGGTAGTATTAGCTATGACGCTGTGTTTGTTTCATGTGGCGATGATGAGCGACCAAGAGGAATATTGGGACACTATGATCTTACTGAAGAGCTGGTATTGAGAACTTCTTACAAAGTTTTGTTCATACTCTTAAACAGTCTCTGGGCTGATCAAAGTCAGGGCATGGCTAACTCACAGATCAAACCCTTAGCAACCTTTAGGATGATCTAAGTGAGGGCATGGCTTATCCACAGAACAAACTCTGAAACAACCTCTAGGCCAATCAAAGTCAGGGCATGGCAAACTAACAGGTCGAATTTGTGAGTAGCATGTTGGGTTTTGCAGAGGGAAGAAAACCAGGAAACGTGGAGAAAATCAGGGAGAGACTTAGCAAACTCTACAGCCGATTCTGGGAATCTATCCCAGAGGGTGAGAGGCAAGAGCTTTAACCACTATGCCACCCTTGATTCCCAAACTTCAGATTATCATGAAATCAGGCAAAGTGTTGTTTCGTACTATCTTCATCAGAAAGCTAACTGAGTGTGTAATATATTTTTGGAATCGTAATTAGGATTCCAGAGTATTGCAAACTACAAAGAAGCTCAAGCTCCCTAAAGAGTTTTCTAGCAGTACCCCCAAGTTTGACCTGATTTGTTTGGGTCAGTTAATGGCATCTCTAATCATCGCGGATTGGAATCCTTCTGTTTCTTTAATGGACTTAAATCAACTGACACAGGTTTGTTAATGCTAGTATAAGTTTGATGATTTTGTGGGAGTTTTTAAGGGTCTATAAAGTAAAGAAATAATACTCAAGGGGAATGAATTGTGGACTCGAGTGGTCTGAATTGGGAAAACATTATGCCCAAGCTAAAGAGGCCTGTTTATTTTTAGGATGTTGGGTTGATTTCTGTACTTGAGGGGCTTCTGTCTGATAAGGAGACATCCATTGTCACTGCCAAAGATGCTCTAACGATGACTTACTTCGAGGAAAGCACTGTACAAAATGGGCATGTATCTCCTGTAGATGAAGAGCTTGATTAAAACAAGTAAGGCATGGATCCAGAGGATTGTAATCCTTTTGGTCCATATTAACGGTCTTTTTGTCCATATTAAAACCATCAAAAATATTGAAAATGCTATTAAGAGTAGAGACTTGCAAACAGAGACCTATGATATTAGTGTGAACAGGTGAAAAAAGAGGTATTATTTGAAAATGCTTATTAAGTCATTAACATCGGCACTGTCTGTTTTTTGGATATGGTATCATTTCCTATATCTGCATTTTTGAGTCTTTTCATGAGGATAGATAAAAACGTGTGTGGATAAGAAACGAAGAAAGTTACACTTATTTACCCATGGGAATTAAGTAGGTTTGGTTAGACATGATGTGTCCTGCACAGCACATAAATAACCTACTAAACATAGGATGAAGAAAATGTTCTGTTCTACAACGAAGACTGTTCTTTATTAACCCTGTTACTGTTCAAAATTATATATATTTGCTCTAGTTGTCGGTACTAGTTGAATACAAGCAGGGGGCTTATGACAAGGATTTTATGGTATGCGTGATAGGCAAGTTTTCCTGATTTAAGTCAATGGAGCAAATCACATACGAATTAATTATGTTGAAAAACGTTGGTCAGGGATGGTGCCATGCCATGCTATGATGATGGCAGTGGCAGTCAGAACATTCTCAATGAATAAATTAAGTAATTTTATACATTAGAATGTCCAAGAATTGTTTTGGATTGAATTTAAAAAAAATTGTACTCTTGTTCCTGTTATACACAAGATTGTTTTATTTAAAGATATTGTGATACATGTTGAAATAACTAAAAAAAATTTGGTATTTTACTTCACCAGTGAAACAAATAATTATTACAAAAATAAATAAATAAATATCTACAACATGTTGAATTAATCTAAGTAAAACAAAGGCTGCATAGTTACCTCTTTACTGATGGCAAATGGTGGATAGCACTATTCGACAGATAAATCGTATCTGGTGGATAAATTTGTTGAATAACAGCATCGACTTATCCATTGCATAAGGATTTTTGTGTTGGATAGTGCTATCCACTTTTTGTACAACCTGGTCCATATAAAAAACAAATGCTATATTTATTAACAGAATGTGACATTTAGATGCTGGTAATTGTAACTTTTAATCTTGTGCGTAGTTTTTTCCCATTTCAGACCACGTCTCATTCCATGGAGCACCACATTCATTTCTTTGTTTAACGGTTGGGCATGAGAAAGACTCATGAATATGGATACAATTAAAACAAAGGATCTTATTCTTGAAAGAATGACAAATGGTCTGAAAAAGGAAAATGCTATTCTAAGTTAAAGGGCTATTTATTCACGCCATCTTTGCAGAAGTTGCATTAGTACTATAAAAGAGTTTTGGTTACAGCCATTCTCAATCACACGCCGCTCTAGCAATTGTTTCTGTTGCGACAAAGAAGCTTTTGGTGGATGTCAAACAAGGCATTTCCAAAACATTCTATAGGCACATGCCCTTATAGCTTTGTGTTTTCCAACAATGTTATGGAAACGCCTTGTGATTGACATCCACCACAATCTTCTCTGTCGCAACAGAAACAATCGCTAGAGTGCGCATGTGGTTGGGAATGGCTGTAACATTTATATTTAAGAACTAATTAACCCTGTCTGAAAAGAGTATTTTAAAAGTATATAAATATATAAGTTTGTAAATTTGTTCAAAGCATTATTAAAGCTTTACAGTAAAACTTTATTTAAAGTTCAATCAAGTATATTGAAAACCAGAAAAGCTATCTGCTGAGAAATACATGCCATGTATAATATTGTCTTTGGAGTGCTGTTTTTATATGCCTTTTAACTATTATCATATACCAGTCTTCATTTTCGTGTCTGCTTTTGAGATAAAATTATATTATTTTCTGATTCTTGTTCATTTTAAGTTTGTTATCTTCTTAGCCATTACCGGCAAACTAAGACAATAGGCCTCAAGGGAGTGACACTTTGGGTCAAATGGGATAACAGTGATAAGGTCTATAAAAAATGGTGTTCCTTTAGATAGATCAACTTTATTTGCATGACATTGATTTACCGGTAATCCTAAAATAAAAACAGAAAGTTCAAAAAAGATCATAATTTTTGTTACAAAAAATTCATTTGTTATACTAATAAAATATTATTATTATTCTTTTGAAAACTTCTTGAGAAAAATGATTTGTACCAAGATAATAAGAGCTTCAATCTTTTGGTCTCATTCCATAAACTTAATAGACCTTAATGAGATTAAAATCATTTGAAATTGGTGTTAATGACATTGTTATACACTGAATCCAAAAATGGAGACTGATTTGAAAAAACTATTGTTCTGGAGAGTAGGCTCTCGTACATGTGAAAACGCTTTTATGTTTCCATATGAACATTGGTCGTCTTATTTTGATTTGGTGTACATAGCGATCAAAATAACTCAAAAGCTATGTCCATGTCATAGCTCAGTGTTATCGTAAAAAGACAAGATACATATCCTAAGCTAACAACCACATTTGATTGACTCTGACGAAGGACTAACGTCCGAAAGGTCAGTCTGCTATCTTTCCTATCTACGGTGATAAAATTATCTACTAAGGCACATTTGTTAAAACCACATTGTTCACATGTGTACAGTTGAAAACATGGTGCATACGAACTTCATCGTAAGTTACCACATTGTTCACAATGACAATTATTTCTAATGTGACCATCAACAAGATCAGCAGCATCATCTCTTCCAATTGTTTTAAGTTTATCTCTCAGGCATAGCAAGGTAGAGTTTCCTTTTTGCTGGAGTAATTCTTTTGTTGGGTTTCTCAGATTCTTCAAAAAGTTTATTTCTTCTTGGTTGTAGCCATAAGCATGGGCTAGGTCACATATATCTCCGCCTAAAGGACGTTCCGGGTCAAGTTTGATCACTAATCGTCTTTGTAAGTTGTTTGGTAAAGCTTCGTTTATTTTATCGTACTTGAAGCATTTAGATTCCTCTTGGAACACAGTTGCAGGTTTTTTATCTGGAAGAAAGAGATGTGGAGAACTCTCACCACTGTTTTCGTTGCTACCCACTGGTTGAGACAAACATGAAAATATTGAATCAGTATTTTCAATCAAATAAATCATTGTGGTAGTGATGTCATGGTTACCTCGTAAATGTACCTCATAAATTTAAACGTGATTATGTTCATGAGGGACGATTAGTCTAAATGTCCCTCAACATTCGTGAGGCACAGTCCCTCATATAACAATCCACCGAGACCATGATGTGTCGCATTGAGCCAGTAAAAATAATTATTTACTATGCCCAATGACTCTAAAACGCTCTATAAAAAAACTCTAGCGCTTGTGGGACCAATTGAGTAGCAAGTCATCGCACATGCGTCCATCAAATCGTGACTTACAATTTGTGACATGATAAGTTATCTCCATTTCCAAGTTGAAATCGCTCATTGTAATAACTTAACAAAGAAAATGCAAAAAGGACTAATTTGTGTAGTTCCAAAAATTATCCATACCCCCCTCAGAGGAATTTTTTTAAGACACACCCCTACCCCCCGGAAATTCCAATTTTCTTCCATACAAACTCTAGTTTTTGTTCTTTCTCTGACTGACCCCCCTACTCTTCGGAAATTCCAAATTCCTCTGTGGGGTGGGTATGGATGATTTCTGGAACTACACATTCTGCTCTTGGTTAAACAAAGTCAACTATATTTTGGTTTACCCTCCTCAGTAATCATAATATTATGAAGTAATAGCATGACATATCTGGTGATTAGTGATTACATGTCCACTCAAGCTTCAGGGTGTTTGGCTAAATTCCCTACAACAAAAACCTCCCTTGGCTTTCAGGGGCATTTAATCAATGATCACCCTTGGGCCATGCTATTACACTATAATTATTACTAGCCATTAGATTCAGACGATGAGAGGATACATGGAAGACTTCTAATGATATAGAAAAAGTTTAATTTTCCTTTAGATCCGTTTTTCCAGCATACCTTCTTTTTGTTTCTGGTGTCCTGTCACTACCGTTATCTGTTTTGTAGCTACAGAGAGAATGTGAAATTTTAGTGGTGGTATTGTTGAGCCCAGAGAAACCTTCAGGCTGAACCAAAGCTGAAGTTTTTTGTCAAGTGATTTCAGTTGTTTGTTTGTTTGTTTTATTAGAATAAAGAGTTTGTTTGTAATATATACAGTTTGAGTGGCCGTGTTGTATCAGATATACAACCACGAGGCGTAGCCAAGTGATTGTATATCTGATACAACACGGACACGAATACTGTATATGACTTATCAAACGTCTAGGTTAGTTCCTTTGTGTTTCACTAAAATGTTCAAAATTAAAGTGAATTAGAAAAAGTTATTTAATAGAATATATTTATACATGGGATTTTCATGAAACTCCACAGTATTACTAATATGCAAATGATCCTTTTTTAGATTAAACTTTTATCTGCAGTGTGACGTCACATGATAAATCTTCATAGGCACTCTGGTAAAAATACCATATGAGACTTGCTGAGTTTGATAACTGATTTTAATCTTAGACAACTGAATATAAACTTACCTTGATTATCACTAGGATGTATGGTGTCAGGTTCATCAGTCACTAAAGCATCTATCACACACATAAAAGGAAAAAATAATTTTTTTGTGTTAATTTTCAAATTTATTTCGTTCCTTGGATCATAAAGTTTCAACTGATTGATAAAGTGTTCAGTGTCGACTCTTCCACCAAGTCCAATATTAAAATTCTGAAATAATTTTTTAAAGGGATATGAATCCAGAGAAAAGCCCTCTCCCAGAGCAAACAAGAGAACCAACGAGGGAATATATTTCAGTATAACATCAAGCCAGGGATTTGATTCTCAAAGTTCAATATTACTGTTTTTCCATTTCCTTCAGTAAGAGTAAATTACCTCGAACGGAGGCAATAAGGATGTATAGGCTTATTGCCGACGTTCGAGGTAATTAAGTATCTTTTTTATCAATTGAGAAGGTTTTCTATCAAATGTTGCTCATTATAAATGCGAACGGTCTATATATAGTTATTAACCGGGTTAATAACTATATATTGACCTCGCATTTATAATGAGGGTTATAACAAAAATAAAGCCTTGTGAATAACAAAGAAAACTGTGTCAATTGATAAATAATTGCTGTTAATTCCCTGATCAAATAGTCAAGTGATTTTATCATGATATCGCACATCGTGGACATAGTAGGCAGCTGTGAATTACCTGGTCTCCCATTCTTGGCATTGTTAACAATGGGACTATCCTTTTCATCCTGAGGGTTAGCATCTGAAGCTATTAATAATTTGATAATTTATTAGAAACTGCCCTATCATGTGATATAGTTGACAATTGGTAGTTCCAAAAATTTTCCATACCCCCCCCCCCCCCATGAAGGAATTTCTTTAGAGACCCCCTCATCCCCCAAAATTCCTGCAATTTTCTTTCATACAAACAGTATAATTTTGTTCTTTCTCTGCCCTGACCCCTGACTTGGATCAGCCCAGAGGTTTTTTTCAGGTTTTGATCTGTGAGTTAGCCGTGCCCTGACTTAGATCAGCCCAGAGGTTGTTTCAGGGTTTGATCTGTGAGTTAGCCATGCCCTGACTTAGATCAGC